CAAACGTGACCATCCTTCTCTCTTCCGCACCATCTCATCACCGTTTGTGCGCTTCCTGCACATCGGAATCGTAGTAACCCTTCAATATCTCTTTTGAACCTACCGCCGTAAAATTCTTCAACCAGAAAAAAATCAAGTCAAAAAAGACGAACTTTGGCCCGCCAATTCAACTCGGATCGCCGCGAACTTAGGAGAGGCTTGGCTGTCTGGCCCCAAATAAATTCTGGTGTCTATTGAACAACAATTCGCCTCTCCGTCTCTCCAATTCTTCCATGCGTCCCACCTTTGACGGCCAAGTATGTCTTACTAATAACTCGATGCTCAATTAAGATGGATTTTGATTCATTTTTCACATTTTCGCATAGTGAGAGTGGTGGTGGCAGATGCCGTATTAGCTATAGAAACATAGTCTATGGTATCGAAGCGAAGAATACGCAGACCATTTATTTTTTCCTTCATCCGATAGATGCAAAAAGAAAATCATCCACCGGCTCTCTCTGCTCTTCTTGAACTCTGCGCCAACCTCTAGCCTACCAGCGGGAAGGACGCGTCCCGCGGCCCGCGTCGTCTCCCGTCTTGACTTTGCGCGTGGATAATGGAGTCCAGTCAATACACCCCTAACAAACCCTACCCTGGCGCGTATGGATCAAAATCGCCCTCCGTTGCGCTCCCTGCCGGAGCGTGTCCCGAGGCCCCACTGGCAGATCTGGAGTTGCCCCACGACGCGAGGTACGAGGGAGGCGCAGCCTCCGCCTTCCGCTGCTCCTCGACGAGCACACGCGTCTGCTCGCTCTTCATCGCGCGGAAGCCGTCCGCCCCAGTGCCAGGATCGACCACTGTGTTTCGCTCCTGCTCAAGGCGCTGCACCTGCTCCTTGAGCGCGCGGAGCTCCGCCGCCATATCCGCCCCTGCATCGGGCTCGGGCGGCGCCGCAGTCCCGCCCTCCGTGGTACCCATAGGCTTCTCATTGATGTCTGGAGCACGCTGCGTACGCGCCGCGCGCCGTTTCCAAAACAGCAGTGCAGCTGCGACACAGAGGAGCACTACGATGCCGCCCACGACGCCACCCACGATCGCGCCTATGTGCAATTGCTTCTTGGGGGGCGCCGTATTAGTGTTGCTCCCGTCAGACCCGACCCCGGTATTGCTGCTCGGTGGGGGTGTCGTGGCGCTTCTACTGCTGCTCGACCGCTTATCGCTGGCAGCGGGGGGCGGAGGGGCGCTCGTGGCGCCGTTCGTCGCGGATACCGCTGTGCTGGAATGGGAACTGGATGATGGGCTGCCTCCGGACGGAGATGAGCCAGAAGCGCTGCCGGAACCACTGACTGTCGGTGAGGCGGTCAGAAAATGCGATACTCAAGCTGCAACGCAACGCACCGGCCTCGCAAAGCGCGTTTAGAGCTGAAACACTGCCTGCAACGTCCGAGGCTGCACATTCGGTCGGGAGACACGCGGAGATGGCGGATTGCAGACTTGCGTTGCCGCATTGGCACGCGAAGTCCGTGCTAGGTTTTATGTTAGGGTTATCGGGTGCTGGGAGCGGGGTGCGTGCTGGACTCACGCGGTGCATGGCGAGCCTTGAGCGGTCGTGGCGTCGACGATGCATGTTGCTGCACAGAATGGGAGGCCTTGAGAGAAGACCCTCGCCGTCAGCGCAAACAGCACAAGAGCGGTACGACGCATGGTGCTGTATGCTCGAGCGGGGTGAAGAAGGACTCGGTGCAACAAGGACCCTATTACACCCCCACGGGTGACATTTCGGGATAAGATGTTGTCAATTAATACATTGGAATCGGATGGCGATATGGTCACTTGTTGGAAAGCTGAGAATTTCGCGCCTCAATTATCCTTCCACTCACAATCTCTTTAAGCTTTGCCAGACAGCCAAGTATCTGCAGCCCTCCTAGACCCTGCAGTGCGTCTTCACCTGGAACGACGCCGGTCAAATAAAGCGCTTGGCGCGTTAAAAATTGAGTATTGCATCAGGCACGAGTGACAGTTGACAGACAGATGCTTACGGCCCCAGACGCCTTTCAAAAAAAAAACCCGAACCTTGAACCCCTCTTAAACCCTGAAGCCAGCAAGCAAAACCAACCAACAAAAACAGCTTCGGACATTGATGAAGAGCACTGGAGTTTCCGCGAATGTTCGACGTTCACGTTTAGTGAGCGATACTGCGGTATACCTGTACGCGGCAGCGAGAGGACTTTCAACTTGAAGTACTTGTGGGGGGGTCCAGGACAGTTTACAAATATAGCTTTTACGGTCCGTAGACGGTCAAAGTGGTTTTTACGTTTGATCCAATCGCCCAAAACCCCGATGAGTCGGCGCTAGCACTTCAAGTTGCCTCCAGCTTCTCTCTCTCACTTACTCAACGCGCCGACTGGCAAGTGCCAAGCTTTATTCGAATGCTGGTCACAAAATGCTCTTTCCGTCCATTGGAGAGATTTTCAGCCACTATTCCGACCCTTTGATACTTTTCTCTTGAGTCGATGCTAAGCCGCAAGAACGGATACTGGGACTTCTTTCCAGTAAGCACACTATCTATTCTATCTCCTGTCATCACATCACATCGTAGTTCAAGGCCCTCCCAAAAAGCCGCAGGGAGCCTTTCGGTTAAAGATTTCGAAGGTCCCAATTCCTTTTTTTGTTTAACAAAAACTCTTCCGAGCCGCGTCCTTGTGCCCTGTCGGGCCCCATCCTCTTTGGCGGAATGCGGTGTGTTTATTACCAGGGCAGAGCTCACGGCCCCTGCGATTCTCAAGCGTGCCCATGGTCACTCTGCTGATCCCGCACGATGCTAAGTCTCGCGTCCCGGATTCCGCTTCTATGATAAACTTGAATACTCGAACTAGTTTCATGGTCTCACCACAAAGCACAATATTCTCGGACACAAAATCTCGATGAAATGAATCCATCGGATTCAGGCTTGGACGCCTCGCACAATTCCTCCGCAGAATTACGATTCCGAAGGACGTCAAGGGTAGACCAAGCAGAATACTTTCTGTCGAGAATGTGGTGCTCAACTCGTCGCGGGTTATCAAGGAAATCTGATCCTGAATTGACGTGGGTTTACCGGCCGAACGCCCGCTCCGAGTCGCGTGCTCTACCCTCCACGGTCCGCCACGGTGTCTCGGGCATGTTATAACTCAGAGCTTATTGCCCCGGTGCCTGAAGTCGGTGAACAGTCGACTCGCCTGTGGGCCGGAACAAAGAATAGCCGTACGGGGCTAACCGACGAGCCTTTCAGTCAGCCCCCAGGACGATGTACACTATCCCGCTCCTCATCAACGGCAAAGAGAGGACGTCGGACTCTACCTTCCCGGTCGACTCTCCAGTTTCACACACGACCATCTGGAGCTGCTCGACCGCCACGACCGCCGACGCAGATGCTGCTCTCGCCGCAGCCAGCGCCGCCTTCCCCGTCTGGTCCAAGACCAAGCCAGCCGTCCGCCGCACCATCCTCCTCAAGGCCGCCGATCTGCTCGAAGAGCGCGCTGAAGAGCTCTCGCTGCACATGCAGCAGGAGACTGGCGCGCCCCCACCGTTTGCGGGCTTCAATATCGTGACCGCGGCGGAACTTATCCGCGACACGGCGGGGCGGATCAGCGCAATCTCGGGCAGCGTCCCGGTCTGCCAGGAGGAGGGTACGAGTGCGCTGGTGCTGAAGGAGCCATACGGCGTCGTGCTGGCAATCGCACCGTGGTGAGTTCATGTGTACTCAAGACTTACTTGGTATACTAATTTCGATACAGGAATGCGCCGTACATCCTTGGCATCCGTTCAGTCCTGTTCCCCCTCGCCGCCGGCAACACCTGCATCCTCAAGGGATCTGAGCTCAGCCCGCGCTGCTTCCACCACATCGGCGCCATCTTCACCGCCGCAGGTCTCCCCCGGGGCGCGCTCAACGTCCTCTACACCCCGCGCCTCGCCTCGCCCGCCCTCACAACCCACCTCATCTCGTCCCCCTCCATCAAGAAGATCAACTTCACAGGCAGCTCCGCCATCGGCGCCCTTGTCGCGTCTGCCGCGGGCCGCGCGCTCAAGCCCTGCGTCATGGAGCTCGGCGGCAAGGCCGCCGCAATCGTTCTCGACGACGCAGACCTCGAGCTCGCCGCGCGCTCATGCGCACTCGGTGCATTCCTGCACGCGGGGCAAATCTGCATGAGCACGGAGCGCGTCATCGTGCAAGCGAGCGTGCTCGATGCGTTCCGGACGGCGTTCATACAGGCCGTGGAGGCATTCGCGCCGAAGGAGAGGGAAGCGCCGGTGCTCGTGTCCTCGGCGGGCGTGGCGCGCAATCGGGCATTGGTGCAGGATGCGCTGGGGAAGGGTGCGGTGTTGCTCAGCGGGGATGGTGACTCGGATGCAAACGCGAGCGCGACGACGCTCCGCCCGCTCGTCCTCGAGGGCGTCACACCCGCCATGACGCTCTACCGCGAGGAGAGCTTCGGGCCGAGCGTGAGCCTCATCGCGGTGCCAAGCGAGGCCGAAGCGATTCGGGTCGCGAACGATACGGAGTACGGGTTGAATGGGGCGGTGTTTACGAAGGATTTGGCGCGCGGGTTGAGGGTCGCGAAGGCGCTGGAGTGTGGGTGAGTGTGCTGTTCCCTCGTTCTCTTTGCGTTCGCATTTCAATTGCTTGAGTCTATCGCTAACCTAACGCACCCACAGCTCAATCCACATCAACTCCATGACCGTGCACGACGAAGCAGCGCTCCCGCACGGCGGCGTCAAGGGCTCCGGCTGGGGGCGCTTCAATGCTGCGACAGGGCTGGAGGAGTGGGTTCGTGGGAAGGTCGTTACGTGGAGGGAGTAGGGTGAGGAGCGCGAGTAGCGGGTCGATGGGCAATGCTAATTTACGAGTATGTAGTGTATCAGAAATGTATTTTCGCCCGGTGTATGTAACATCTCTGCAGGTGTATTAGAGGATGTGGGTTAAAGGAAGACAGGAACGGCGAACACTTATCATGTTCAAAAACCTCGGGAGGCAAAAAATATTCCCGCTAGCCGATTTGAACGACTGACCTCGTCATGAGTTATGTAGCTACATGCAGAATACTAGTGACGCGCTCTACCAACTGAGCTAAGAGGGAGTGAGAGTGGTTGCGCATTCAAGTCATAGAGAATACCTAGAGTGCTGAAAGTATAAAGCTCTGTCAGGTGAGTATGGCTGGCACACCTAAAAGCTGCTCCGCAGACTAGTAAAACGTGCTCCGCAGACTAGTGTCAGAGAGCACACTGAAAGTATAGCCAGATTCAGGATAAAATAAAGCTCGGCCTGTAAATGTCAGGTATGGACTGGCACACATGTACACACCCCGTTCAAAAAAGATCAGATTATACGAGTTCGATTATGGAAAAATATACTAGTGGTCTTAATCGTACATCTATTGGACCCTATAACAAACCGAGGTACGAGGTAAGAATTGTTATAGCGTCTGTTGATAAGAGACTAATTGGACCCTGGATTACCAAGTCTTCTTCCCCTTGCCCGCATCCTCGATACCTCTGGCAATTTTGTTGGTGCCGCCCTCAACCCCAGTCGCAAGCGAGTGCACAGCGTCACCAACGGGCTTTCCATAACTGCCCGTAACGCCAGTGACTGTGTTTCCAACTAGGTCGGTTGTGTCAGTTACTATGGGGGTAGAGATGACGAGGACGACGACGACATACCTCCGCGACCAGCAGCACCGACGACGTCGCCGACAGTGCCTAGGACACCGCCGACGCCGTTTCCGAGGGTCGACGTAACGGCAGTAACACCGCCGGAGACGCCAGATTTCTTGTCGTCACCAAAGGACATTGTATGTGTACTTGAATGTTGTTAGTACATTCGGGTGTTGTCTACGAGAAAGAGCCACTTACAGATGTAGGTGAAAGGATTTGGGAAAAGATAGGTAGATAGTTAGTGAAGAAAGCCGCCCGCATGCTCACTGTTATTTATACGGCGGGCTGTGGAGCGGGGATACAGCATGACGTCGATGGGCCAGCCGGCACACAGAACAAAGTAAAGTGGGAGTGGACAATGAATAAGGTGACAGAAGTGAAGTCAAATGAAAGTAGGCAGGCGCCGTAGACTTCGAATTGAGAAAAAAAAGTGTTTCTATGCCTTGGGGCGGCGCGATAAGCTGGAAAGTGTTATATATATATATAACGCATCAGCACCAGAGAGATTTGGCCCATAAGATAACAACGACGAGAAAGCAGTACAGTTGTGCAAGCCCATTGGGTTTCGAGCGAGCCCTTCGTTTACTCGAGTAAACGGATCGGATTGACGTTGTTGTAGCCGTACAAAGCAGGATATCCCTTCAAGAACTCTCAAGAACAAAAAAATTGCCCTGGGTCAGAATAATTCTAGGCCTTCCCGCGATTGTTTTTTCCTTGGTTTGTGTCGTGAGGTCGTAATGGTCTGAGGTCAAGATGTGTTGCCGAGTGATGTGACGCACCCGGCTCAGACTTCTCCCGTTCGGCTACTGTTCCGCGAGTCCTCGCAGAGATTTTTTTTCAGGGCTGAACACAGCGACGCGATTGTCATTTCCCTTTCGTCCTAGTTCCCTTCACCAAGTTTGCACATGGATCGAAATCTTCGTTGAATTGACCACGTTTCTGGGGTCGTCAGCAACCACTTGCGTCCGACTCGACAACAGCGAAAAAACAGATCTCGAGACTCCGTCTTTTGGTATGTCCCGGTCCGTTCAAGAGGTCCAGGCGCTCATCGCCAAACGACGTCGCCGAGGTACTGGCGCAGTATGACCAGCAGCTCAAACACCTTGAAATATACGACGTAATGTTTTCAGTCGATGTGGACACTTTAGACGGCTTCGTGCCATTCCCTTGCCTTGAAACCCTGAAAATCGGTGATCCAGACAAATTTACAGACATTAGTGCCCCCGGTTCTCGAATTATGGGACTTTTACGTCTTGCCCCCAACCTTTTGCAATGTACTTTTCGTTGGATGGACTTTCACGCGCACAACGTCCCCGACCCCGAAAACTTGATTCTTCCCCACCTCCGTTGTCTGACGTTTGGTGAAGAGGACGAACCCTGCGCACATAACGGTGATGCCATTCTTAAAATATCTTACATTGCCCGCACTCGCAATTCCGTTCTTTAGGTTTCGACAAAATTTCTCTCTTTTTGGAGAGAGCTTCGCCACCACTCCGAAAATTGGTTCTAGGTGCTAAATACCATTTCCACCCAGCCTTCACCACGTTGGATCAATGGTTCCGTCTTCTACCTTCCCTCACATATCTCGACCTTTCAGCTCGCCGTACCAAACTTGTTTGCTTTCACCTCACAACTCGGGTCAGGCCCGGTTCAGATTTCGGTAATGGGGGTGCGAGAACCCATTGAAGATGGGATAGAGATCTTTATTGGATACTCGCAGGACAATTTCATTTCAGTTTCAGCAAGTTTTTTTTTTTTTGCTATTCAGGTCAATTTGACTGAATCTCACAATAGACCATATTATTTTGATTGAAATAGCTTCTCATAGTCACTGAATATCTTACTGCACATCGGCGTCAAACTGGGACAATATATGTAAACACATTGTTTGGGACCATGGCACTATCGAGGACATTCTCTCGGAAGATATGCATTTTAAACAAATTTTGACACCTCTATGTCCCATTTCTAAAGGTGTTGAGATGAGATCTTTATGAACGCTTCGACATGTCAACTTGTACCTTACCACAACTTTCCTTGGAGGACGTCGAACATGAGTAGTTTCCCCCCGGCCGTCCCCGAGGTGATGTTAGCCAGCCGTGCTCCTCGTCGCCATCGAAGTGCGGCTGAATTTTTTTCTTGTGTGCCTCAATCGTGAGAATAAATTCAGTCTCGCACACTAGTTTCGAGTTTATAGAGGTCCGCGACCAAGCCGCATAGGCCGAGTGATCGTGATCATGATGGGGCGACAAACTTGGCACAACCAAATTTTTGACCTGCTCCCGACCACTTCCGTTTATCAAAGAAACTTCAGTCGTTGGCTCTGGTGAGCGAATTACAGCTCAGCGTGACGTCCCTGACCACTATCTACGGGTTACAGCTTCAAATTTGAAGTGCCACATGTCTGTAAACGTTGAAGCGCTACAGGCGCACATCGCCAAACTCTCGGCCGATATCGACCTGCAGAGGCAGGTTCTAAAACAGCTAGAACGAAGCAAAAGCGATGCTCAGCGCGAGCTCAATGCCATCCGCGATCCGATGGCGCGTCTGCCCCTGGAAATATCGTCGGAAATTTTTATCCGATGCCTTCCCCGCCAAATGAGGCCTTGCGCTAGCAGCGCACCGATGCTTCTGCTGAATGTGTGCAATGCATGGACGGATATAGCGCTTTCCACCCCGGCCTTGTGGGCCTCCATTTACCTGAAGCATTCGTGCGCCGACATAATACAAGTTTGGCTTCAGCGCGCAGGCGATTACCCCCTGTCCATCAGCCTGCGTAAAAGCCTGGATTACAGCACCGGTTTCATCCTTTTCCAACACGCCACGCAGCTTAAAAATCTAGAAATAGATGAAGAAGAGCTCGATGTCGGGCCTTTGACTGGTGTTAGGTCATTCCCTTGCCTGGAAACCCTGACAATCGGCGCCGTAATGGACGAAACCGACGTGCCGAATTCATTCAGTCTCGCTCAAATCATCAGACTTTTGCGTCTTGCTCCGAATCTAGTGCAATTCACCTTCCATCATGTCTCTACCATCGCCGACTACAGAGGCGAAGACCTGGTTCTTCCCAGTCTCCTTTGCTTGAAGTTAGGAGACACTACGGACCTCATAGAACTCTCCTCCTTCGCAGGGGATGACATTCTTCGTAATCTCTCATTGCCGGCGCTTCAGACACTCTTCCTCCCTTTCACTTACATCACTGCCTCCGATTTTTCCCTCTTTCTCAAACGATCTTCGCCGCCACTCCAAAAATTAGTCCTAGGTGCTGGTTGCGAACAGTTCGGCTTCAGCGAACTAGACGAATGGTTTCGTCTTACACCCTCCCTCACGGATCTCGAATTGTTTGTGGACGAGGATACTTCTGATGATTTCCTCTCTGCACTTGGGAACTCCCCGTCCCATCTACTCCCAAACCTCCGAACTCTCAGGATCGAGCAGGGATTTCCAACTGAATCTTCATATCAGAGGATGCTATGCGCGCTCTCAGTTCGTCAGGCGCAAATCGTTTTTTTTGACTTCAAAAGTATGAATGGAGCTGCTCCCTCCGAAGCGTTTAGTCTGGATGTCCGTGCTGGGCTGCGACAACTTGTCGAAGGAGGGATGAAAATCCGCATCGCAGATGATGCGGGCGATCTCTCTTTCTAGTTTTCGCTATATTTGACGTGCATATAGGGACAACGTTCAGTTCAACCTTAGGATGAATGGCATGTATGTTCGTACCAAATAATCCGGGGCTGTCTCAGATCGGCTTCAGCGGAGGGCCGCCTCATCAGTATCGGCGCTTGCCAGTACTTGAGCTTGCAACGGTGTCATGAATATTTATATTACGCTCTAGTAAGTCGTCGTTTATTTTATTTTATTTTATTTTTCTCCATAATTCCGTCCAAAAATCCGAGATCTAGACCAGGAAGTGGAATTGACGACGAAGAAAGTCGAAAGAAAATGACCACGTGCGCCAAGCACGTAAACAACGCGTAAATAGAACACACTCACGTGGAACACAGCCTTCCGCCCTCTTTCCTCCTCTCTATCTGAGTCTTTTCGAGGCTAGCATTATGGCGTCGGTCATATGGATCGACAGCGACGACGAGGGGGACTTTATCGAAATCCTCGAGTCGCCGATCTCGCGCCAGCCTCTGGCTGGACCTTCTAAGATCGCGAATACCCCTAAGCCCAAAGACACAAAGAAACGGCAGCGAGAGCAATCGCCGGACTGCGAGATCATCGAGGCGACGCCCAGGGCATCGAAAATCTACAGGCCGCAGCAACTACAAGCGGAAGACGACGACCATGCCATCGCACTGGCGCTGCAAAGGAAGTGGGAAGAGGAAGACGAGCTTGTACGGAAACGCGCCGCGGAAACTGACGAGAAGAGTTTCCGGTTGATTGCTCGACTCCAAAAGATGGACGAGGACATGGCCGAGAA